GGCTAACGTTGTTCCCATGATTCACAAGGTGGAAAACTGGTCCTGAAAATACAAAAACCTGAACTTCAAGATCCGTTAAAACAAACCAAAATGATTCCTGTAGGAAATTTAAGACGACAGAATATTTGATCAACAGATTAGGTTAAGTGGAGCGGTCAGTATCTTACCTGCAGCAGACAGGAGTTAATTTTAGTTTGGTCTCGGGGAGAAATCGTCAGTGAGGTGTGAAGCGAACAGCTGATTTTACATCACCACAAATAAAAACAGACATTCCTCAAAACAATGCTAACCGCTCATCGACGTGAACTAAAGTTTTTAAGAAAGTTCTTGCTTGATTATGAATCGAGTATGTGTTAGGGATGACTCTCAGCTACTACCACAACAACTTTTAGCTGAATATCTAGAAAACTGACTGATTCAAAGACATTTTTAGTTTGTGTTGGCTAATGTTGATTAGCTGTGGCGGCCATCTTGAATTTGGTTTACCCAAAAACAATCATCCTTAGATTATTTTCTGGAGTTTTATTAACGAACACACAGGTGGTTACGGACTTGTTCACTTTCATGCTGTTTTTGGGTCAAAACGACCCAGAAAACTCGAGTCCTTGTGAGTGGTTCTGACCCGATGGCAACAGGACGGTTGATTAAGCTTTCATTCAAAACTTAAGGAACATTTTAAATGATGTAAATACACTTTTTAATAGTTCCTGACTTTTTTCTTGTGAATTTCTCCCCGATTGTTCACACTGATCACTCTGTTATCTGCTGCAGATAAGATGCTGACTGCTCATTTCTGCTGCACTTGCATAAAACTTGAACTTTGTTTTTGCCATAAAACAGGAATGATGGAGTTTTTGACCTCTAATAAAAGGTTTTATTTAAGTGTTTTAATTAGTTATAATTAGTTATAATGTGTTTTAGTTATACTAGTTATAACTAATTAGTTATAATTAGTTTAGAGTGGTTTGAGGTTTCAGGACGAGTTTTCCACCTTTTAGTTTTGGCGAGCGCACAGAAACACTGAGGGGTTAATACTGCGGCGGCAGGGAGGGGTCTCCGGTTGTTGGCCCCAGTAGAACCTGTGGAAGTGGTGGCGCTGAGCAGTGAAGGTGATGAAGAACAGAGGAGGAGGAGGAGGAGGAGGAGTGCAAAAGCGTCTCCTGCAGCTATACCACCGTGCCGCTCGGAGAGTTCCCGTTCTGTGCTGTCAGGTTCTGAACGGGACACAAAACGAGGCAGTTAGAAGCAGAAACATCACTTCCTGTGGGTGTGGAGGTGGTCTCGGGTACGTACCGCCTTCCCGGGCCGGGCCCAGGTGCAGATGAGCCCCTCCTGGCAGGCGGTGATGATGCAGTCGTCCATGAACACCAGCACGGTCAGCCTCTCGTGGGCGATCTTCTTGCAGACGAGCGGCTCCAGCAGCGGCACCTCGTGCATGCGGGGGCACAGCGTGGTGCCCAGGACCTTGGCGCCGTCCAGCCGGTTGCTCCTCGGCGCCACGTTGATCTTGTCGTTGCTCTTGCTGATGTTGCCCAGGCTGTGGTAGCGCTTGTGCTCCTTCTCCACGCCGCCGCCGCTGGATTTGTCCGACTTGCGCTCCTGGAGGGAGAGCGTGGCGAAGCGGCCGATGCTAAACGGCGTGCTGTTCCCCCCGCCGCCGCTCCCGCCGCCTCCGCCACCCCCTCCCCCGCCCTCAGAGGCGCCCTGAGCCTTGGAGGCGTTTGCCACGGCGGGGTGGGGTAGGGAGTTGGAGCGGGAGAGCGAGCGAGGGAGGGGCAGGGGGAGCACGGGCGGGTTGGAGGCGGCGGCGTTGGCGCTCGGCGGGTGATGGTGTCCCTCGACCCCGCCCCCGCCGCCGTTCACCCCCCCGCTGCCGGAGCTGGGCAGGGACGGCCCGAAGGTGTTGGTGAAGGCTCGGGACAGCGGCAGGCGGGGGTACAGCACGTCGTCCGTCAGGTCCCAGAGGCAGAACTGCGTGTCCTGCCCCACCGAGCCGAAGCGGTACGTGACGGACGGCGAGCCGCCGCCTCTGGAGCTGTGGCGGGACAGCCGGGACAGCGTGCTGCTGGTTCGAACCCGCCCAAAGCGCGTGGAGTTGTTGTGCGCCCCCTGGTGGAGGTCCTCCTCGCTGCCGCTGAGCTCCATGGGCTCCTCGTCCTCCAGCGAGGTGGTGAACGGGTCGAACGCCACCACGTTGACCCAGGACCTGTGGCCGTGGCCCCTCGCCACCACGCGGCTCTCGGCGAAGGACCAGACGGTGACCAGGTCGTCCTCGCCTCCCGTGGCCAGGTACTTCCCGTCGGGGCTCCAGGACACGCAGAGCAGCCCGCCGAAGTAGCTCTTCATCACGCCCTGCAGCTCCATGGAGTCAAAGTGGAAGACGCGCAGGCAGCCGTCCTGGCCCACGCACGCCACGTGCACGCCGTCCGGGGAGAAGGCGAACTCGTTGAGGCCCCCCTCCCCCACGGCCCACCGCAGCAGCGGGTTGCGGGGGGTCTTGCTCTTGCAGGCGTAGACGGCGAAGCCCTCGCCCTGCCGCAGCAGCGAGTACTGCGGCGCCGTGGTGCCGCACGGGTGGTCCACGTTGTACAGGTAAAGATGGCCGCTGGCGTGGGAGGCCAGGAACAGGTTCTCTGACTTTGGAAGCCATTTCAGACACGTCACCTTGGATTTGTCTATCAACCTCTGAAAAACAGGAGGAGGCGGCAGAAAGGAAAATGATTAACTGACGATGATGATGACGATGATGATAGATATGTCAAATTCATTACATAATCAGGGTTCCTACAGTTTAAGGAAAGTGAAATTAAATTTAAGACCAATTTCATAATAAACACAAGTGACAAAAAATAAAATAAAAACTGTGACAGAAACTCATGAAAAGTATTTTTTGGTTGAAGTACTCAAATATTGCTAACAGGCCAATTGTTTTTATCCATATCCAATTATAGCAGAAACGTTTTTAGCAGTCAGTTTTAAACTTTATTTAATTTCAGGAAATCCTCTAACAACCCAAAATTTGGGTCTTAACACCAATTTGCTGTAGATAAAACCTTGAAGTAGCCTGGTCCTTGCCTTCCTACGCAGCTCCGCTCAATTCTAGTTTTCCTTCACTGCTCCGTCTGGGACTTCTCCCGTTRACAAGGATTTCACTGGCAGATTTTTAGCCGGGCCAATCAGAGAAGAGAATGTCAATTTTCTGTGCAGTGTCTGCTTGTAGTTTATTTTACCTGATCCAATCAGAGAACAGAAGGAGGAGTTTTGAAGGGTGTTGATTTTCTGCGCAGTGTCTGCTAGTTATTGTCATTAAAGAAAAATAAAATGTTTTACAAAAAGCAGGAACTCAGCTTAAAACCAGCCGTATGTGTGGGAACATAAAACACAAAACCTGTGGTAAAAACAAATCAAAGTCCTACCTCCTCATTGAAGAGCTTACTGGTTTCCTTCTTGATGGGGTCCAGATACTGGACCTGACCGGCCGAGAAGCCCACGATCAGCGCCACGCTCTCCGCCGTGGCCGAGTACTGGTTGAAGTCGTGACACGTCGGCTGAGTTCCCTTATAGATCCGCTTGTCGATGGGTTTGCTGAGGTCCACGGCCTGCAGGGGGGCGGAGACATCATCAGCACAAGGTCACATGACCCTGCAGGAAGACAGGTTTACAGAGGACCCCAAAACCCAGACCGGTGGCATGTTGTGGGAGTTTTAGAGAAACCGGGACGATTTGCTGCCAAACTCCATTCAAATTTTCCATCTTTTTATTTTCTTCTTCCTGTAAAATTTTTGCCACTTCATGAATAACTTTGGGTCTCGGTCGAAAAGGAGGTCAGGGGGGTTTGCGTTTATTCGTCTTGAGAGGGAAATGAAACTGGTGACGGTCTGATGTGTTTTCCCCCATGAGATTACTGTGTTTCCTGCTGCCAAAACGTGTTTGAAATAGGACGATCATTTTCTCAAAAAAAAAAAAAAAGTAACTATAAACTATTTATCGGAGCTCCGGCTTAGTTTGGCCTATCAACATAATTTAAAAAACTTTTTTAGTTAAAGTCTCTACTTTTATAACACATTGTAATAAAGTCCTCTGGCTACAGAGATTTAAATAATATATACTGTTGTTGTGCATCAGGTTGTAAGGTCTATTTATACTTATTAAGAGTACAAAAATACATGAATCTGTATGGAACAATACACACTATGTATGGAACAATACACACTATGTATGGAACAATACACACTATGTATGGAA